AATGCATGAGTTATTAGAAAGAAAGTATCAATATAGTATTACAATATATAACTAGAAAACAAATAATTTGAATGTCCCATAGTTTCATTTTAACATGGATTATTTGATTATTATTAGTTTTTCTATATGATCATATATTGATTGATCCTAACAAACAACAATTAATAAACTTTTCTTTAAAAAATTATGTTCTTTGAATTATTTCAACAAGTCTTTTTTTTTTCATCTTTCGGGAGCATTAGGAAATAAATCATAAAAAATGCTTATATGTAAAATAAAATAAAAATTTTAAAATAATGTTAGAAAAATTGTTTTCTAATACATTAATTCAGCCGTAGATAATTAGAGCGCTTTATTTACGAAAGTATCATACTTTTATCATTCAATGGTGAATTCATGTACACAAGTATAAAAAAAATGATTAGAATGGCCAATGACATTAACCTACCTCAAATTTTGCGATTTGCTATAATTAAATTATGTGCCTCATGACTGAGAGGGATAATTAACTTATGCCAATGTGTAAATTTGAATTTGATTAAAAAAGTCTTAAAAAAAGGGTACCGAAATTTATAGATATATACTATTTAATAACAACTTGACTGATAAAAATAAGTTTAAGGCCAAATCAATCGAATATTATAATTTTTAAATGACATAATCACTAGGCGATTCAATCATAAGAGGGCCGACATATTTCTGACATTAATACAATCAAATCGCTGAACTGAAAATTTCAATTATAAACACAAATTAGAAGATCAAATTATCACTGAAATAATTTCTTAAGGAAAATATTACATCAAGACTTCTATTATAATTTTGCGTTTGAAGTTCAATGATGAGGCGCCACGAATCAAATAAGTCTCATCATAATACACTAGTAATTACCAATGTTAAAAATAATGGAGCCAACTTGATGCATGACGTCCCACCATTAAATACTGAATATATTCGTTGTGCTGGCATAATAGTTTTTCATAATATGAGCTACAATTCAAACCTTAAAGTTACCTCAATTTGTGTTGATTCTGACGAATGTTTTAATGGCATTTTGTGCTGTCTATTTATTATTTTACAGAATAGAATTAGCCCCATGCGCGGTCATCCACGACTTTTCTTTGAAAACAAATTTGACTTCCCTACAAGCGATTAAATTTACAGGAAAATTAATCTACGATTATGAGCGCTGCAACGGGAAAGAAAAGTAGAACCTATCCTGACAAGAATGACATATGATGTTATTGTTCCATATGGTCAAAGAACAACTCGCATAGAAGCCGTTCGACCAACGTTTCTTCAAATTTACCGTCAAAGTTCTAGTCAAATCAAGGCGGCGGCTAGAAATAAACGCTGTTGTTTTCAAAAAACAAGAAGATCAATGGCACCTAATTTCGAAGGTGCACGTGCCACCAAATTCTTCTGCGTTTACGCCTTTAATAATCAAACGCTCTTCATATTACATACAAAATTATTATTTCATACTTTTAGAAAGTGAAAAATATCTTTTCAATCATAAATAAGAGGAAAATATCGGAGAGAATTGAAGTTTATATATTAGATTTATAAATACATATGAATTGCTTTATATATGTACGTAAATTTTCCAATTTTTTTCCCATCGCTTGAAATTTTGCCTCCCGCCCAAATCTGCTTGGCAAGTATTTCAGCGGACATAAAGGCTTTAAAAAAAAGTTGTTTTAGTACTATAATTTAAGAAGTAAATCTCGCGATTGAGCTTGTAGAATTAATTTCAGGTTATATTTTTTATTTTATTTTACAATTAGTGCGTAATATTTTTTTTCTAATATATTGCCAGCATTATATTTTACAATATACATAGCTACTATAAGAGAATTAAAAATGCTAAGCTTTAGAAATGATATAATATCATAGTAGAATATAAAAATATATATATAATATTATAGTAATATTATCTTAATGAATTAAAAAACAAATCTATTAAATGAAATAATACATAGTGCTTGCATATTAGAATAGATGAAGTTAAATTGAAGTTTTTTTTTTAATGAATAGCTTTAGAAAAAAATAAATGAACATGCATTTGAATGCACTAAAAATACATTGTAAGTGTTTTGAATGTTTAAAAAAAAACTATAATTTAATAAAAAAAGTCACATATATTTTATTTCAAATCAAAACATAAAATGAATAATAAAAACATCAAAATAAAAATGATCCCATATAGCCCAAATAAATTTTAAAAATTTCTTCATTCGTTATATATTAATAATTTTTATTATCTATATTTATTAAGATATGTAATTTATGCGTCTCTATCAAGATTTTTTAAATTGTTAATTTTTTCTCTTAGTCACAAGTAATTCTAGTCTTGCCCTTGAGTATTAAAGAAAAGGTGTTATTATCTACTATTTCAATGTGAGGATAAAACTTTTTCTTATGGTTATGATATTAAAATAAAATAGAAATCCCGCACATGTGTGCATGAACAAATAAAAAAATAGCAGAATTTCACAAAAAAAATTAATAATGTTGTATACATCTGAAAAGGTTTTTTGAGCCGGCCCGAATGGCTGAACGGATCAAACTAACCAAACTAATGATTTGACAAATTGAAGGAGTGACAAACTGATGAATCTCTCTCACTCTCTTCCCCTTCATTCCTTGGGTGAGATTCATGGACAAAAAGGACTCATGAAAAGCACTAACTTCGTGTTTTATATCCATCATACAATTGCTTATAACATTATTCAAGACGAAGCTATTTTATAAGAAAAATTCCTTAGGAAAAATCGCGTTTTAATACAGAGCAACCGAAATAAGAAAAATTCCATTGGAGATAAAATATGTCTTTATTCAGATAGATACATTAATATCTACTACAAACGGGCTGAATATAAGTACATAAAATTAATTAAGGAAGAAAAAAAAACCAATCACGGGATATGATGAAATCATGGTCGGAGCACGATCAAGTCCAAAAAGAAGTTGAAGTAGAAATTCTCCTCCAAACTATAACTGGCTCAAGCGGCTAAATGTGGACTGATTTTGGAACACTTGAAATTTATTTCTCAAGTCCACCTACTCTTTGTGCAGCTTGGTTACAATATCTTTCATGGAAAAAACCTCTCACTCTATATTAACCAATTGCTCTAATTGATCATCCACATTCTTAGTAGTTGTAACAGGAAAAGGGTATGACAACAAGTTGCCAACCTCATCAGGGAGGGGCAGAGTTTTGCCTCGTGAACCTCTTCAGCCTCCTCTCCTTTAGCTGCATCCATAGCCACAACAACAAGAGGGATCCCACCATGCGAAAGCTAGTCGACACACTCGGTCGCTTGCTAATCTCGCTCTAAAGGGGCATCTGATGCCTCATTCAGATTTAAATGGTTAGCATTTTATATATTATGGTCGAAGCCAAAATTTTACTAATAGTAAAACATACTAAAAGAAAAAATTAAAGTAAAAGCAAAGCGCAAATTAACTTAATATTTTCAAACTAACTTTATTTTATCATGCATGAACATTTGAACTGAGCTAAAACTTTCAAAATTATAGGTGTGTGTTCTCACGTAATCACTTCATCATGGTTGAATTCCCTTAGGAGTTGGAGCATATGCTTACAAAGGCAGTTCATTAATCGGATCACCCACAATTGAGTCCACTTCTCTGATGACCACTCAAGTAGTCACCTTTGCATCTATCACCCTTAACTTCTCCCCTTGTCTAGAGGGTTGATGTTACTTCCTTCTTTTTACAAACATCTTGAACCCCCTCCCGCTTGTCACTCATTTCCGCTTAGCAAACATGTCATATAGTTTTTCTATGTTTGAGATTTTCAAGTTTGAAGGAGTAAGGTCTGCTCTTAAAATCAGGCGAATAAGAGGAGACTGTATCTAAAAGAAAATGAAAGGTGTTGAGCACAAACAAATTGAAAGGACATCTCATCGCACAATTTATACGTGACACGATCCAGAATACAAGGGAATGTTCATGTCATAAGTATCATTTAAAATAAGTTGGTTAATAATTGTGAATTAATTCTTTCATTATTCACAACCAAGCTTTCCAGGTGACGAGAGAATTGAAAATAAAATAGTATAACTAAACCCAACTACCTAGACTCTCAGAATATAAAGTTCTTGCTCTTTTTTACCTTAAGCGTGTATGAAAGGAAAACTCGGAGAAGAGTAACTGAGAAGATAGGTTTAGGATGACAGATGCTCGAATAAGGATTAGCCGAATACTCATGGTCGAGTAGTAAAACCATAGTAGTTAGTATTGAGTAGTAATGACATAACAATTAAGTCCAGCTATGAAGGGCCAAGCACCATTACTAAAATAAAGGTTACTGAGGATTGGCAATCCTCAACACTAAACACTCGCCTAGTTGACTTTAAAGTGAATATCTTATTGGAAAATCCTGGATTAATTATAACGTGACCAAAGACATAGTTAGACATCCCTAGAGGCCTAACATAGTAAAAGCCTAATTTTTTACATTTTAGAGAAGCTTTCCTATATAAGAGGATATTAAATAAAAAAAGAGGTTCGACTTTTGAAACCAAACTTTTGGAGCAATCATACATCTTAGATTATTGAAATATTGCTCATCACAAGTTGATTCTGAAGTTTAGATCTCTCTCTCTCTCTTCCCCTTCATTCCTTGGGCGAGATTCATGGACAAAAAAAAATTCATCGTAACCAAAAACTTTGTAGTTTACATCCATCATACAATTGCTTATAACAATATTCAAGCCAATGCTATTTTAAAAGAAAAATTCATTAGGGAAAATCCCATTTCACAAGTAAGATTAAATTTATTTTGGGGCAATTAAATACAAAACACCCGAAACCTCCTATTTACGAATCAACCTCTCTCAATCATCCATTTTTCAATATTCAGTCAAATATTAAAATTCATGGAAAAACTCCAACCCCTTATTTTCATTTTAATCGATTTCTCAGCGCGTGATTGGTAGTTCCAAAAAATTAGCTGATGTTTGAATATAGCGTTACATAATGTCAGTGAGATCATGCTATCGTTAACCTGTCGCTACGCTTATAAATCAGTAGGAAAGAAGAGCAGAAGCAACTAAAACTTGGTAACCATGAATCCACTTCTACTTGTTTCTATTCTATTGGCTCCCCTCTTCTTCTTGATACTAGTGAAAAGGAGGTCCATCTCAAACAAGGATTCCCGCATACCTTCACCTCCGGGGCTGCCTTTGATTGGCAATCTCCATCAACTTGGCCCGATTCCCCATCTTGCATTGCACAAGTTATCAAAGGAGCATGGACCTCTGATGCTTCTCCGTTTTGGTACTGTACGTGTTCTGGTAGTCTCATCCCCCAAAGTTATCGAAGAACTCATTAGAACCAATGATCTCACATTCGCATCCCGTCCCTTGGGCAAAATATTGAATGTTTTGTCCTACAACCAAAGCGACATAGGCTTCAGTCAATACGGAGAGAGTTGGAGACAAATGAGAAGACTAGGTACAACCTACCTCCTTAGCTCACACAGGGTGAAATCCTTCATCTCCGACCGAAAAGAGGAGGTGTCTCTGCTCCTTGAAAAAGTTGCTAAAGAAGCTTCAAGGGGTAATGGTGTTATATGCATGCCAGAGATCTTGAGTTCGTTCGTGACCAGCGTTATCTGTAGAGTGGTTATAGGACCAAGTGTCAGTGAGGAGGAAAAGAAGCGCTTCTTTAAGCTAGCGCATGATACTTTAACTTTAATTTCTATGTTTTATGTTGAGGATTTTTTCCCTAAATTGGGATGGTTGGATGTGCTGCGGGGAGTAAATGAGAGGGTTAAGAATCACGAGAAGAATTGGGATAATATTTTAGAACAGATTATCAAAGATCATTGCAATAACTCGAAGGAAGCAAACGGTAAAAACACCACTTATTTGATAGATGCCTTGTTTGAATTGCAGAACAATTTCAGCAAGGGGTTTGCCCTCACAAGGAATCACATCAAGGGACTTTTGCTGGTACTTTTCTGCTTGCTTATTCTAATAGTTCGGCTTTAACTCTATCTTCTTAGCAGATTTTGTCTCTTTAATATTTTAACTTGTTAAGTGATTTTTTTTTAATTGCGATTTTTAATTTTTGTTACCTTATAGATGTTTCCCAAAGGCATTTAACCACTAGAAGGCAGACTATCAGAAATTAAAAAATAAAAGAGAATCATATTCTTATATAATCATTCTAATATCATATCTAAGAAATAAGAAAAGATTAGATTTTTTCTTTTTGTTGGATGCAATATAGTCAATTTATTTTGAGTTTTTAGAATAGAGTGCATCTATATAAATTTTGACCAATTAAACAATTCTCTCTGACCTGTTTTTACATGAATTAGAATCTAATTACTGCCGGGTCAGACACATCATCCGTAACTCTGGACTGGTGCATGGCAGAACTTATTCGAAATCCCGAAGTCATGATGAAGTTAAAATCAGAAATCAAAAGAGTTGCTAATGGGGCAGACATGATAAGCGAGGAACAACTGGGCGAAATGAGCTATTTACAGGCATTCATAAAAGAAGTCTTAAGGGTGCATCCACCATCTCCCTTATTGGTTCCTCGAGAGTCATTCCAAGAGTGTCAGATACTAGGCTATAAAATTCCGAAGAATACTAGACTTCTAGTCAATGCATGGGCTTTTGGAAGAGATGAATTATATTGGGAAGCACCAGAGAAGTTCATGCCAGAGAGATTTTTGAATAATTCGATTGACTATATAGGTAAAGATTTTCACTACATGCCTTTTGGTTTTGGTCGCAGAATTTGCCCTGGAATGCAATTTGCAAAAGTTATGATTGAGCTTGTCCTGGCAAATCTCTTGCTTCGCTTTGATTGGAGTCTGCCGAGAGGCATCACCGCAGAAGACTTGAACATGGACGATGATGGAGCAATAGTTGCAGCAAGGAAAGAGAAGCTGGAGTTGGTGCCAGTAGCTACTAAGTTTAAATAGATGATATATCTTGTAATTAATAATAAGATACCATCATGTCATGTGCCATCAAAAAATCATTGCTACATGAATTTTGCAATAATAACTCGTAGTAAATGTTTTAAATCAGTGACAGAATTTCCTATTATGTAACAACATGAAATGGTCATTTGATCATTATTGTGATATGTTAGAAATGAAGGAACGAAAGCCATGGTCCCTAAAATGGCATATATACATAGAAGAGTTTTGCCACGCCTAATTATCTTACATTTCCAAAAGTGGTGTGATTACATCTAAATACCTATATGATTCAAATCATCTGGCAGAAGAAATATAAATCAGAGCACATTTGAAGATGATCAAATATAAATATTTGAATCTAAAGCGAATATACTGTAATTACCTGTTAGTTATGGATGTACTAATGATTTGCACAATGTTTTCAGGGCTCTAATTAATTTGTCCAAATTCCTAACTTTTACCTTTTTTTTTCTTAAGAAAGAAAATCTAAGTTAACCATATTGAATAGTTTAAATAAAAGAAACTTCTACGATTCAATCCATCTAAATTTGGTAGCAATTATTTGTAGTTTTTCAAGTAACAATGTAGGCCATTAAAAGGAACATTAAAATTAGTTTATGAAATTAGGCTATGTAATATTACATTGCAAAATAAAAAAAGGCTAAAAGACAAAAATTTAACATGTAGTAATATTTAGGTGGATGTGAGAAAAAAGGAAAAAAATTATTTGTGTGAAAGCAATATTCAAGTATAATTTGTTTTCTCATTATTCTAAACAAAATTGAAGGATGCACCTCACGAATAATCGAGGGAGGGGGAAAAATTGATTAGTACATTTTACTAAGTACCGCACTCAACTCTCAAATTGGTAGTGCTAAAAATAATGGTGCCTGAGATTCGCACAATCGTAAAATTTGTTGCTGCCATCCAACCCTTCCGGTTTTACTACTCCATCAATTTCCTAGAAAATTTTTATTTTCGGACTCTTTATGAATCTAAACACAGTACTTGATATTATGACTAGAATATATATATATATATATAATATATATATATATATATATATATATATATTAGAAAGAATTGGTATTTCACAGAGGCTCAAATACTGATTCCTTATACGCTAGGCCCTATGGTGACCTGAGGGGATTTACAGTAACACCGCCAACCAACAGGCCAAGGCTTGTGCGCGCGCTCGCGCATATACACACATATAATATATATATATTTTTTATTATTATTTTTTTTTATAAAAGAGCAACTCGTGGCTCCATTCCTGTTAATATGAAATGAGATTACAAAAGAGAGGGAGGGAGAAAAGGAACCCACTAAAAAACAAAAAGAAATACAAGATATTTTAGGGGTTCATTTTTCCACATTACAACTCCACACAACGAAGGAAAAAAGAAGGGTCAAAAAGATCTATCAAACCCAAAATTATAAGTGACCCGACAGAAAACATACCAATCCAATAAAGTATACCCAATATTAACATTAAACAGAAGAAAGCATAGTCAGCCTTGAGAGTTGTAAAGCCAATTAATCCTAATCCATAGTAGATGGAGTCCCAACCGAGTGATGCAACATGCTAAGCATCAAAAAATCATTATATCTACATCTCACAACCTGCAAAAAGGACCCAAGAGATTCCAACCAAAACAAAAAAGAAGATGAAAAGGAACCAAGCAACTGGGAGCAAGTAGTAAAACTAAAATGCAGAGATTAACAGCTGCTTGTAAGTGAAACTGGAGCAGGAGATAGTGGCAGCAAACAAGCCCAAGTCACACATATAATATATATATATATATATATATATATATATAATTGT